GGCATGGCTTTCTGGAAGTAGCTGCACTGTCTCCAGAGCCGAAGCAACTGGCTTACCTAGCCTCTCTGTCTCCTGGCCACCAGGCTCCACAGAGTCCATGACCAGAGTCCCTGGCCTCTCTGTGTAGTGGTTCTTGGAGCTACTCAGCTTACCCAGGTCCTGGAGCTACTCAGCTTACCCAGGTTCTGGTAATTCTCTTTTATATACTGTGGCCCATTCCTAGGGTGCATGGAAGGCCTTGAGCAGGAGACCCTGCCTCCCTAGTTGACCCCTCTCAGGCTGGACCTACCTTCAAGGTTCCATCCTAGTCTCTGCCAAAAAAGTTGTTCCGGGCAGGGCCAAGGACCAGCCCTGCCACTGCCAGGGGCGAATCCTCCCCCAAGAGCCAGTGTGACCCACTCTCCCACATTCCTGGACATGGTTATTTAGCTAACCACTGAGTGAGCCAGCGCATAGCTTTCTGTCTCCTACATAAGGATGTCATGAGGGCCTCGCTCCTGGCTGGCTGGAATGCATGTCATCCTTTCGAACAGCCAAGAGGGAACATGTAGTTATCCTGCAAGATTCTTTGGTAAGTGAACTCAAACTTGCCATTGTCTTTCCTGTGTTCTGTGCAGCACTTCTAGAATTTCTTATTAGAATGGATGGGAAGCTTACTGGTCTAAGCCCGAATTGGCTTTTTTGGCCCCATTTTGAAAACAAAAGGGGAAGGACGCTAATATTTACAAATGCCAGTTCTTGACATGTCTCATTTCACCGACCCTTCATCACAGCCTTATGTGGGAGGATGGTGGTAGCCACTCGGAAGATGAGGGGGCTGAGCGAGTCTGGGGATGTGGAAGAACTTCCCCAGGGTCCCATGGCTAGCAGGGGGGCTAGCAGGGGCTGGTGCAAGGGCTCTGAAGCCGGCTTTTCCCCAGCCTTGCTGCTCACAGGTGCAGCCAGCTGGGGGCCTGCTCTGGGGCAGCCCCCGAACCCTCTCCTATCCTGCCTTTTCGGACAATCTTGTCAGCCTGAGGGCGGGACCCAGTCTTGCTCCTCCCCAGGCACCACACACAGGACAGGGAACAGAGCAGGGGCTCTGGAAGTAAGATGCCTCAGGGGCACGCGAGACTCGGTGTGGGGGGTGGTACTTGCTCATCTGCGGTGTTATTTTCTAATCGTGCAAATTGTATGGGGGGTAGTGGTAAAAGCAGGGCATGTGTGTGGTGGAAGATAAGAGTCATCTGTGGTTCCTTTTCTTACTCCCACTCCCTCACATCCAGCTCACCCACCAACTTCGGAGGAGCTGGCCCTGCTCCCGCACGCACCCTGAATCCGTCTAGTCCTCCCTCACCTGGGCCCAGCCTTGTCACTCTGTGTTGGCAGCTGCGACAGCCAGCCCACTGGGCCCTTGCTCCCGTGCCCGCTCCTTTAAATCCAGCCTCCACTCAGCAGCCCCAGGGAACTTTTCACAGCGAAGAAGACCTCACAGCCCTTCCCTGGTGACTTTTCATCACCCCGGAGGCGAAGCCCAAGGCCCCGACCTTGGCCCCGAGGCCCCGACCTCCCTCTGTGGCCTCATTTCTCACAGTTGTTCCCACCTCTGCCCACCTCCTGCCAGGCCCCAGAAACACCGGCCTCCCACCCGTCTCTGCTCTCCTCCTCCTCCGGCTCAAGGTGAGGCTGGTTCCTTATCCTCTAGGTGTGAATTCGGGTATGGCGTCTGCACAGAGACCTTCCCTGACCCACCAGCTAGCCCCACCCCAGGACCTCTCTCTCCTGTTACCTGGTTTAATTATCTTGATTGTACTTGTTGCTTGTTGCAGTTATCTTCCTTGTTTATTTGCTAATCATCTTTACCCCCCTCCCCACGAGAGCATCAAACTTGTCTGTTTTGTAGCCCACTGAATTCTCAGCATCTATAATACACCTAGCATGTAGTAAAGGCTCAACAAGTATGTGGTGAAAAGATGAAAAATAACACAGAAACATGTAAAGGAGAAATAGCAAATTATACAATTGTGGATATGGTAGCAGTTAATGATGTAACGATTGTGTGTGTGAGAGTGCATGTGGGTAAGCTGGGAATCATCTGCTCCTTCAGTGAGAGGGCTGGCCATGAACCTGAAGCACGGCATGCAGGAACATATGGGTCACATGTGTGTGTGCGCAAGTACGTGTGTCACTGTTCGGTAGCAGTGTAACCTCCGCTGAGGTCTTTCACCCCTTAGGCCTCAGTCTCTCCACCTGTGGAATGGGGCTGGCTGGGGCTGGAGGCAGAGGCCCGGATGCCGTGGCCTCTCGAGGTCAGCCCTTGCCAGTGGCTGGACCCCACAGGCAGCGGGCCCACTGGCCCGCGGCGCTGTGCGGAGGGGCGGGAGGCGTTTATTGAAGTCTGCCTCCACCCAGGGCCGCTCCCCACTGACCTCTGAGGTGAGGATCTCGCCCAGGCAGGAGGGAGTGGCCAGGGCAACAGGAAGTGAGCAGAAAAGCCTGGAGACAGGAGCTTTGCTGCTGGGAGGTGGATTATGTTCACAGCGGAGGTCTCTTGGAGGAGGCATCAGGAGCTTGACCTTGATATGTTTTCATTTCGTGTGTGTGTGCTTGTTTTTTAAAGACAGATTTTGAGACATTTATTTTATTTCTTGAACTTTTTTCTTTCAATTGCCATAAAAAGAATTTTTATGAAATTTAAAAGGGAAATCACACACACACACACACACACGCACACACTTGTTTTCACCCACCCAAGGCAACAACTGATCCCTCCCTGTCTCCTTGCCCTTTTCCTGCGAAGACAATGCTGGAACCTTGCCAAACGTGCGGGGAGTTCAAGGGGCTCTTGACCTTAGACAAGTGGCTTCATCTCTCTATACCTTGCTTTCCTTGTCCAAAAAAAAAAAAAAATCAGGGCGTCATAATTGCTCCATCTTACAGTTCTTGTGCAGATTACACGAGTCAACATCTAGAAAGCACTGCAAAAGGTGCCGGGCACTTTGTATGTGTTTGTTAAATAAGAGGAGTAAATAAATGGAAAGGAAGGGGCATCCATGATGTCGCCATCATGGCAAGAAGAAGCCACCGTGGAAGTCTGGCTTGAGGGTCAGAAAGCGAGAGCGCAGGCCCCGACTCTGCCCTTACTCCCCCTATAACCAGGAGCACGCGTGGCTTCTCTGGACTCCGCTCGTCCATCTGTAAAGTGGTTATGTCATCGGCCCCCCATGACGCTGCGGCACGGGGCGGGGGATCACGGCTGTGCGGGCTTCAGTGGGCGCGGGGCCCTGGCCACCGCTGCTGTCCACCCCCCCCACCCATCTTCTCTGTTTTCTTGTTCAATGTTGTTAGAGTTCCATGGTTATCACTGTTAATGGCCGTGTAATAGTCCTTCGAGTGGAGGTGTCACGATGCACTTTGTCATCTCTGTTGTGGGATGTTTAGGCGGCTTCCAGTATCTTGCCGTTATAAATAACCCTTCCATGAACATCTGTGTGCCCAGAGCACTTCCTTCTGGGGGATGATTTCCCCAGGCAACTTCAGGGACATTGGTTGAGGCTGCTTTGTCGGAAGGACGGAGGGACGGGCCAGCGGCAGTGGCTGGGAGAGCTGGGTCCCTTCCAAGGTGGCCTGATAGCCTGCTCGGGGGGCGGCAGTGAGACACCCAGCGTGAGCCCTGAGCACGAGGGGAAAGGCAGGGCATCTAGTGTGACGGGGCCGAACGTGGTGGGAGGACACGAGGCCACCGTGGGGCGGGCAGTGGCACTAGGAGCTGGAGGAACAAGGTTCTGCTTTGGCCTTTGTGTCTCTGTCACATACTGTCTGACCTTGAGCAAATCCCTTCCTGTCTGTGGACCTCCGTTTTCCTCGTGTGCTGTGGCCAGGGGCTGGGCAAGGCTTGGTCCAGAGCTGCACTGTCTCCTCTGGTCGCCACTAGCCACCTGTGGCTATTTTGATTTAAATATAAAGTAATTAAATAAAAAATTTGAAATCAGTTTCTTAGTCACACTGTCCACGTTTCCGAATCCCATCGTGGCTAGTGGCTACCACACTGGGCCGCACAGGTATAGAACGTTCCCTTCACTGCAGAAAGCTCTGTGGGACTGGGCTGGTCTAGAGACATTTCCAGAAATCCAATCAGCCCTAATGTGCTGTGGTTCGGGATCTCTGTCATCATGCCTTCTTATGGAACCAAGAAGAAGGCCGGCAGCCCTGAGCTCCGAGGACTCATTAAGGGCCTAACAAGGCTTTGTGACTTTGCACAGGCCGGGACCTCTGGTAGTGTCCAGAGTCTGAAATATCCGTGACTGCTTCTCTCCCAAGAGGTCCTAGTGTGGCCTCTGAGAGAAGCTGGGCAAGTGTATGGGCCCCAAGAGGGGTGGCCCCAGCCGGGGACAGTGCCCAAGGGAGGCTGGCATGAAGACAGAGTAGGTGGTCTCCTGATTCCTCAGGCGGGAGGGCAGCTGGGGGGCAGTCGGAGCTGCTCTCTGCCCCCTGCCTGAAACGTCACTGGTTCCCTTGGGGAAAGCATTGTCCTCTCTGGGATTCTTTTAGAAGTCTAGACTAGGGAGCAGAGAAGATGGCCACCTCACTCATCTTGTCCTGCTCTGGCTGCCTCAGGCCCTAAGTCGGCTCTGGGCACCTGCTGGGAGAGGAGCCGTGAGAAGTGAGCCCAAGCGTGAGGGTGAAGCTGCTTCTCTCCCCAGCAGTAGGCACACACGCGCTGGCTACCCAGGGATTCTGGCCACACCTGTCCCCCACCTCTCCCTTCCTGTCAGAGGGAGCCCCTCCCTCCCACAGTTGCTTTTCTGCAGCCTGGAGGTGTCACAGGGGGAGGGAGAGGTACGGGGTGGGGGCAGGGTATAGTGAATAGGGGAAATACGAGGCAAGGTATGAGGAAATGAAGAGAAATTGGCTCTCACCTTTGCTGAAGTGTAGCCGCCTTCTGCCCTACCCCTGCGCCCATGGGCCCCTCTGTCCCCCCATAAACCCCACTGCTCACTCTTGTTTCTCCTGTTTTCCAGGGATCCCATGGCCATGTCCTGGCTGCCCTGAGTCTGTGAGGCCACACAGTCCCCCACCTGCATCTACAGGACTCTGTCCCTGTGCAGCCCTTGGACCAACTTCCAAGCTCACTCCTCACCCCAGCCTGGGGACTCCTCAAGCTTCAGGACTCAGAGGGGCACAGTAGCAGTCACGGTAGGTGGCATCCCCACTCTGCTCACTCCCTGGCCCCTGGAGATACTCAGCTGGGCCTTCTGGGTCTTGGGAATAGGAAAGATACCTTTCTGAATACTGTGTCTGTCAGAATCCCCTTGGTTGCAAGTAGCAAAAAACCTGTTTAAATAAAATAAAATTATCAGCTCATGTAACTGAAGGGTCAGAAGTAGGTTGGGCTTCAGGCAGGATTTGATCCAGTGGTTCAAACAATGTGACCAGGACCTGTTTTCTATCTGTATTTCTATGCTTCACCTCCACTCCTAGGAGCATTTCACATGACATGGTCACAAGATGTCGGCCAACAGTTTCTGGGGCAACATGCTTCCAGGTTTAAATCTGGGGTCAGGGTTGGAGACAAATTCTGCATTCTTGATAGAACAAATAAAAGTGCTGGGATTGATCTCTTGGGCCCTATTGGATCCTCGTTTGGATTGTCCTGACCCTTTAACTGCGTCCACAGGTCCTGGAAACATAAAGGTGCTGGGGGTCAGGGTCTGTCCTTCCCCAACCATGTGACCAGGAATGAGGGGAGGGTGTTTCCCAAAGGAAGCTTGGGATCTAGCTGGTGGAAGAAGTCACCCCCAACTGAGGGAGACAAGTGACAAATGATCGGTGGAGTCTGTCCAGCTTGGACAGCTTGAAGCCAGTCCCAGATAGATGCAGATGTGTGGTGTGTCCTTGGGCAAATCCCTATGCCTCTCTGAGCCTCAGTTCCCTTATCTGATGCAGAACCCTTGGTAAGGGTGCTCTCAGAGCTACTTGAAATGATGTATGGGAAGCACGGGCATCTAGCAGCTACTCTGTACATCCTCGTTCTCTTCCCCTTCTATTTCCCTCCTGGGGAGTTTGCAACATCCTGTTTTCTTCAAACGTGGAAGGAGCTGCAGAGTGAGAATGGTCAGTCAGAATCCCTAGAAGCAAAGTCTGAGACAAGGATTTGTGAACATGAGACTTAGGGAGCATGGGCTCTTGGGAGAAGGGAGGAAGAGAAGAAATTGGGGCAGGAATGAGGGAGATCATGGTCTCAGGGAAAGTCTAGGCTTGGGCTGGTCCCGGGGGCCCTGGAGTAGAGTTGACACCGTAGATTTGCTGCCCACACGGGGCAGCCGGGCTTTTGTACCCTGTACCGGTCAGTCGCCGACTATGGGCCATGCCTGTAGTACCTGTAGTGGGCCCCGTTGGCAGAGGGCGGTTCTCTGGAGAAGGGGGTGCCGTGAGCTGAAGCAGCCCACACTCCCAGCGGCTGGGGAGGGGCTCTGGGCAGGCACCATCTAGTATAGGACCTGTGTCCCCGACCTGGCCTGTCCTGGAGCCCCCTGGCCTGCTGCCTCCTCTGGCTTTGGCTCCTTCTGCCCCAGCCAGCAGGGCCAGTCCCTTCCACCCTGGGGTCTGGTGATGGGGTGGACCTTCATCCCCTCCTTTCGAGAAGTCTTTCCACCCCAGGCCTCCTTGTCCTTCCTCTGCCCCCTGCCTCTTCCCCTCTAATTGTTTGTTTTTCCCTTCAACCTCAGCCATGCGATTCCCCCACCTGCTATGCCTTTTCTTGCTCTCTACCCCATCCTCTCTTTAGGACCTGTGTGGGTTCCTCTCTCTCCAGGAAGCTTCTACTCACTGCTCCAGCCAACGTTGCTCTCCAGTAGTCCTTCCTCCAGCTCCACCCTTTTTACAGATGGAAAGGCCAAGGTCCAGTGTGCACTCCCTCATGGATACTCTGGGGGTTCCAGCAGCAGTGCCAAAGTGTGTTGCTCTCTTTGCCTTGGCTGCTAGGAAGCTCATAGCTAGTTTGGGGCCCATGTCTAGTAAGTGCTCAGGATGCTGGCATACAGTTGCTCAGTGGCCTTACCTCTGGCTTCTTCTCTCTCATTTTTTTCTTCTTCTGATTTCTTATTTTTCAGCCTGTGCTCTTCTCAGCAGCCTCAAACTCTTTTAGAAGGTGGTGGGGTGTAAATTATAAATAACCAAGACTGGCCTTGGTTAAAGCATTCAGCCAAGTGCGAGGCAGCTGGGGAGGGAGGGTCTCTCCCAAGGCCCTGGGCTGAACCTGTCCCTGGGGAGACACCCAAGCTTGACCATGGCAGCCCTGGTACGGTGCCCACCCTGCCCTCCATGGGTCAGGAAGGACATTGTTCTGCTTCCCATCCTTCTCCCTCCCCACTTTTCATCTTATCAGAAGCTAATGAAAGAGGCTGGGAAACCCAATCCTTTGGTAATTAAATTTACTTAACGGGTATTCAAGTGGAGTAATGAGAAGTTTAATGCAGTGATTAGATTTTTCTTTAGTTAATTAAAAGGAGAACCATGTGTCTTGCCAGCAAACCAACTTGACCCTCTGCTTGAGAGCAGCAGAGATGGTGGGGGGCTTGGCTGCGTGGGTGGGGGTGGAAGGGTGGGTGCATCCCCCAATCTTGGAAGTAAGCCTGGCTCTGCTGCCCACCCAGGGCAGCCCCTGGTGCAGCTCCCATTTCCGAGCTGCGAGAGCCGGGACTGGGCTAGGCCTAAGTCTCCCAGGGCTGAGGGATCCAACATTCCCCACACTCAGAGCTGATCACTGACCCAGAACAGAGGTTTCAGAGGGGGGCTTGGCAAGGGTGGCTTAAAGCAAGGAGCACAAAGGAGGGATTTCAGGCACTGCGAGTGGCGGGGTCATTTTGGGTATCACATCTCATTGCATGGGCCAGTGGACGCCTTTACCTGCATGTTCAGCCAGACCTGGCTTTACCTCCGTTGGCTCTATCTGGGCTAATGGAGTGAGGGCAGTGGGGTGGATAATCGAGAAATCTGAGATAACCTGCCAACCACTCCTCCTTGACTTGGGAATGTATCCGTGCCAGAAGGACGGATCCTTGCTGCGTTTCCGAAGGCCAGTTAGGACTGCAAGGAAGTACTTCCTGCTTTGGGCCACTTTTGCTGGGGTCAGGTGGGGGCTGGGGTAAAGGGAATATGGGAATCCCAGCATAGCTGTGTGAGGTGGAGCGTAGGACGGGATGTGCCAGGGTAGAAGGTGGGCATAATGAGGACCCAGAAGACAGGCCCCTGCACGTAAAGGGCAGAACATGTTGTTTTCAAGCAGCGGGTAAGGCTGGGGAGAGTCCTGAGTCTTTCATGGGGGGGGGGGGGGGGGAGGCAGAAAACTTCCTTTAGTGAGACCTGACCCTACCCCCACACTGAGCCTTGATCCTGGACAGACTGAACCTTGATCCCAGTCCTAGAGGAGCCTTGACCCCAGCCCCATACTTAGCCCAGCATTGTCATGGATTTGCAAACAGAGTAACTAACGGGTGCTGGGGTGGGAAGGGTGAACAGACCTGTTTGTCCATCCTCACTGCCCCGCTCTCTTGCCTGTGGGCAGGATTCCTGTGCCAGGCCCCACACTTGTCTCTGGAATGGCCAAGATGAGTCAGATCCCTGCCCACAAGGCTGGTGGGGGAGGTGACAAGCAAACAGGCACCGAGTGATCAGAGCTGAGGTGGGGGAGACCCAGAGGGCTGGGGGCTCTGGATCCGCACTAAGAGCTTCCTCCAACGGCAGATGGGGGGCGGGGAGGGGCTGGAAGCAGGGCCCCGTGGGGAGGCTGAGACTGGTCTGCCAGAGGTGAGGAGGACGGTGCCCACAGCGGTGGCTGCGGGGGCCTCAGGTGAGCAGTTCTCCCTACGAGAACTGGCTGGGATGCCCCCAGGCCACCCTAAGCTCCTGGTGAACCAAGGGCCTCGTGTGTGGAAAGGGTTGGCCGGGGTACGGGGTACTGGGCTGATAATGTTACCTTACAAGGCAAGCATTTTTATCCATCTCATCCAAGAGGAAAGAGGTGCTGAGCCTGCACTAGCCCGGTGGGGCGAGTTCCCAGAGCTTTCGGGCCTCCAGGCAGGCTCACTGCTGTTCGTGTGCATCTGCCAGGGAATGGACTTGTCCTGGGGGGCAGGAGGCCTCCGCTTCTGACTCCTCCACCCCTACCTGGCTGGGCCTATCAGACTGGCGTCTGGGGCGTGAGGAGTGAGGGAAGCGGAGGGTCCCGGCTAGGGAGGGGCTGAGCCCCAGGAACAAGGCTCTCCTGCTGTCTTCATCCCTGCCCCTCCCCTCTCCTGACTCCACTAGATTCCTCCCGATTCTTCTTCTTCCCCATTTCCCTTCTTCTTTCCTTTCTGAAAACCCAGGCCTAGAGAAACCACCCAGCGTGCCCACCCACCACTCACATGGGGAAATTGTCAAGATCATGGGGCTCTGCCTCTCATCTGTCTTTAAGGTTAAAGGGTCTGAAGTCACATTATCTCGAATGTAAACACAGGATGGCACTTGGACACTTTCTGCGCACACACGAGTTCACACTCCACAGGAGATGGCCCCAGGGAGCCAGCCCTCTGTCCTCAGGTACCATGCTCCCCCTCCCTAAACCACTGTCTCACTGAATCCTCAGCAGTCTGGGAAGGTACTTATACAGGTGAAGGAAGCGAGCAAGGTCAGGAACTAGGTCCAACTCACACCGCTAAGTGCAAAGGTGAAGCTTGCCTGACAAGCTCAAATCCTAGGCCAAGCCACCCCTCCAGATTACCCCCTCTTGCTTCCGGGCACTCCCCCTCCCTCCGTCTCTCCAAGCCTCCCCCCCACCTCCCTCCCCATCCACTGCCACATCCCTCCTCCCTCCTCGCTGCATCCTCCAGCCAGAACCAGTGACTCTTCCCCAGCCCGCCCCACGCTTTCCCACCCCCAGGCCCTTATTCAAGCTGTTCCAACCCCCTGGAGTTCCCCTCCCCAACTCCATCTGCCCAAACCCCCTTCATCTTTCCAGGCTGGGCCCAAATGCCACTTCCTTCATGGAGACACCCTGTCTGCTGTCACTGCAGTCAGAAGTCCCCCACCACCCTCCCTGAGCACTGTCCTACAGCTCTTTCCTGCCCGCCTCCCCACCCCCCGCCCCGAGCCTCCTGGCTTTCCTATGTCTGACTTGGCAGCTGTGTGGAAGGTGGGGCCCCGGCTTCCCAGGC